CATAATTTTCACAAACACGGCCGAGGATAGCAACGTTATCTCTCGATATTACGACAACTTTGCGTCGCCGTTTTTTTTTTTTTTTTTCTATTTAAAAGAGATTTTTACTAGAACAGCGAAAGGAGATTAATTGCAAAGAAGTTACTTACACGACCTCGGCAAGAAAAAAATTTGCTAAGTTTATTGAATTTTTTGTTTCGAAAAAACGAAACGTTTGTTGATGAAACAAAAAATTCACCAGAGTTTTTCGCTGTGTATTGTGGCAAACTTGTTTTCTCCCCCGCAATGAATCTTGCACGAATGAAAGTTTGAATACGAGTGTTACAACCTATAGTGTTTAATTTGTGTTTATATTTGCTGTGTGTAGCGCGTTTAAAAATACAAACTTCAAAACTGCGCCACACAGATGTGTGCGAAACTACACTGAGAAAAAAAAGTTGTTGAAGCAACAAAATTTGTATTTGATTCAACTATATGCGGCGGTCACACGGGCTGTCGATTAAATAGTGATTAATGTGAGAAGACATCGTGTTTCGATAGATATGACAATTAGTTTTGTATCAAAAGACATTTTCAGTTGTTCCAATAACAAATCTACAGTTTGTTTAAACAGATTATTTGAATATTTGATTTGAATATAAACAACACAATATTTTGTTTCCTATAATAATATAAGCACTTTGATTAGACTAAATATTTAATACAAATAAATTCCGATTATATTTAATTAAAGTAACTGAGTATTGCGTACTTAATTTTTTTTTACCAGTATCTTTTATTTGAAATTACCATATATTATCAACAGGATATATTTAAGGCCGATACGAGCCATTCGCAGGATGTTTGTGCGGAAACTAAGCGTATACATATATATATATATATACATGTAACGAATTCTGCTTGTAAATTTTTACAAGTATTTTTTGAATTGAAATCTCAATTCTTAAAATCATACGGGATGCTGGATTTGCATCTCACATATGAAAAACCCCAGATACTCCCCTAACTAATTTTAAAATATTGCGAAAAAAACTCCTCGGCCAGGAGTCGAACCTGGAATCTCCGGCTTTCCGTGCCATACCATATATTATGTTCGACAGAACACAATTCATGATTTCACAAATTAAATATGTTCATTAAATATTGTTGATTCAACTTATATGAATTTGTTATTTTTCTCGTCATATACTTGAATCAAAAAACACAAGTCAGATAACACACTGACAGCCAACTAAACGCATTTAATCATTAAAACTGAGATTCATCTCGGGCTCTGTGAAGTCTTTAACTAATGAATGATAAGTCGTTGAGAGCCGTTCGCTGGATGTTATGCGGGAAATATGTCTATATATACAATATATGTGCGTGTGTACACATATATAATCGAATTCACGTTTTTCACGTGAGTTTTTTGAATTGTAATTACAATTCTAATAATCATATAGGATGCTCAATTTGCATCTCGTATATGAAGAACCCCGAATATCCCCCCAAATTAATTTAAAATAGAAATAGGAGTGTAGTAAGCTTCAATAAATTCTTATAAAACAGGAAATGTATAATGGCCATTTGAAGCAAAAACACTGGTGATAACGTGTGTATGATAGATGCATTACTTTATTCAAGCAGGTAACATATAATAGAACGTTTTCGGCCTTAGATTAGGCCTTTATCAATATATATATAAATATGATGTTCTTGAATTAACCCTTTGCGGACGAGCGGCAGATATATCCGCCCAAGCCTTTTTACCGTTGCGGACGAGTGTCGGATATATCCGCCCAACTCTCGCGCTGCGGCTAGCGTACGTCTGCCGTCGTAGGCGATAAGATACACATGAGGATACTAGCCTAAGACGTCAAGTGGCCTCTCAATGAAATTAGAGACGACTACATTTGTTTGTTTATGATTTTGTTAGATTTCATAAAAAAAGTTATTTGTTAGTAAATTTGTTTGTTTATAATTTTTAGGATCTTTTGAATAATTTATTTGAATAAAGCCTTAATTTGTAAAACGCAAATATGCGACGTGAAAATTTTCTTTACTGCACGCTCTAATACCTGTCGTCCACAGCGACGCTCGCCCGTCGAGCGTCTCCGTCCGCAAAGGGTTAAAACTTATACAAGTCACATGATTACAATATAGAAATATTAAAGTAACTGAGGCAACTTAATTTAAAATATTGCGAAAAAAACTCCTCAGCCAGGATTCGAACCTGGAATCTCCTGGCTTTCTATATATAGACATATTTCCCGCATCTAACATCCAGCGAACGGCTCTCAACGACTTATCATTCATTTATTAGTTAAACGCATTTAGTTGAGTTAATCATATTTTTTTCTCAGTGCATACACGTTTGATTTTCTGTCAAACTATTTGCTTGTGCGATTTATTGAAAAAAAACGTATGCTCATTAATACACATTGTGTGTCGCGTATAATATCTCTCTCTCGCGTAAGATATCAAACTCTTTTATTCCGCCTCTGCTCGCGATTGATCCTCGATAGCGGGGCGATATTTGAAAATCAGGTTGCACGTGAGGGTAACACGCAAGGAATATCTTAAGGTACGGTACGACAAACCCTAAAATATTCGCTGAAAAAGAGACAAATCGCTTCTCTCTCTCTCTCTCTCTCTCTCTCTCTCTCTCAAGAGAGAGAAAGAGAGGGTTAGCTGTGCATATAGTCGTTTTTTATCTTACCGAGAGAGAATACGCGCATTCCACCGTGACATGTTGTCCAACGCTGAAAGCATACATTTACATTTTGTTGCTTTATACTTGATGCTGACGTGAAAGAAGTTTCCTTCTTGTCTACGAAATATCACGAAATATTCCCGCGACCGCCTATGAATCACAATATCGACTCCTCGTAGTCAGATTGATCTTGTCACGCGGAGTTATGTCGTCGCTCGCGATGCACCACGACGTCGATCAGACCGCGATTATAATCCGATATACACGAGCTGAGATTTTTATCTTTTTTTTATCGCGAGATTTCAAAACCAGGATTTTTGATCCTCGCTTGTACGTACGTAAAGATGTGTGACAGTGAATAAAAATATTTTTGTTTCAGGAGTTTTTGAAATTTAAGATATATGATTCAAGTTTCGCATAGCGAATGTGTGTAAAAATTACCTCCCGAGAAATATTATCAAAGATTGTGATAACGTTCAATTTAAGATGAATATGAGCCGGACGCGCGCGCGCATTATGTATATTTTAAACGTGTAAATCGATACTCGTGGAAATTCGAATTAAATTCAACTCGAAAGTTCGTCTAATATTTTTTTTTTGTAACTTACGCAAGTCGAAACAAAATTGTTCGTTTATTTCTCGTGTTTAAACCGAGATATGTGTGTCTGGTGCCTCGGTGGAGCCGAATTGAGAAGGCGTCTGAAAGTCTGAACGGAATGCGGGAGATCTCTGCGAGTTCGACTTTTGGCTCCAACGTGTCTTTTTCGAATTTTTTTTTTTAAATTTTACAAGGGGATGAATTGGGTATTTTATACGAGACACAAACTGAACAATCTTGGATCAAATTTTCGAATTGAATTTAATTTTCGAATTTCCACGTGTGTTAATTTACACGTTTGAAATATACGCGCGCACAGACTCGTATTTATCTTAAATTTAAGTTGAAAAATTACTTTTACTCACCTAAATGCATATCTCTCTCATCCGCAATTGTGTAGAAATAATTTCATCTCCTTGTTTGATCATCCTTGACTTCTTGCTTTAAATGACATCCTAAACAATGTCATTTCAGTCTCCGTCGGGGCAACCCGATCGTCATGTATATCGCTGCGATATCATCCAAGTTGGGTGGGGAGGGAAAAGAAACTTAGCTTCCTCTATTAGAGAGAAGAAGACGTCTCGCGCCTTAGAATGTTGATGATACTTGTAATATATCACGTATCGCATGACCAGTCGATGCGATATCACCGGACGACCGGAGATCATCGTCTCGGTCTTCTGGTCTCGTAAGAACTGCAACGTGTATGTCCCCGTTATTAAGTTTCGCTCGTGGAAACGAGATATCGGACAACGACGCGGCCGGAAAGAGATCGATGATCACTTCTCTGTCTTCATCGTTCGTGAACTGACTCATCCACATGTTTCACGTATCTTACTTGGTTAAATTCCCGACTGCGCGTACATAATACACTATACATGTGTATACACATACATACTATATATATATACTATATATAAGTATATACTATATATAACTATATATATACACTATATATACACTGCGGGAGGGGCGATATCGTTTTATAAGTCTTCCTTGGTTTGTCTAAGGTATCCCAGAAATTTATATCCGCCAACGTGGATCGTTTTGCGATCAATTACCCGGCGGGCAAATTATCAGCCCGCTAGCGCGGCAACCGATGTTTACATTTGCATATATATATACATATGTATGTATCGAACTTAATTAACTTAATAACAATAAATAGTAGTATTTATGAATAAACTCATAATTATGCTGTCGCGCACGCGCGAACTTGCGCGCGTTTGTACGTTTCTCTGCGGGCTAATATATAATAACGCTCAAATTAATGATGCGTATAACGAGTGTATATATATATTGTACATTTGCGGGCGGGCAAATGTTTTTTTCTTTATCATGTTTATACGATTAATTGATGCACGATGAAATGTTATATCGAAATCCACGTAACGTAAACATCGGCTTGATGCGGTATAATGTGTCCCGTGCCGTTGCCAGTAATATAACGCCGAAATTTTATTATCATATAGCGGTTTGCACTCTTCACGCTCCGTAAAAAAAAAAAAAAATACAAATCTGCAGAGATTGCGGATAATATAGATTCGATTTGAAATACACAGAAACGCGGGACAAAAATGTGAGAGAACAGAGTTTTTCTTTCTTATTGAATTATTCTCACATTAAGACTTGTCGTAAAAAGCGCGCGCGTCGTCCTCTTCTCGCTCGTTTCCGTCGAAACTCACGGCAGAACTTTTTTTTTCGCAGGTGTCCGGCAGCAGCAGCAGCAGCAAACAACGACGGTTTCAGAGAAAACGAATGACTGCGGCGAGCTCGTCCGAGTCCTACTTAAAGAAATGGATACGGTAATCGCGAGACCGCGTCGGCGACCAGGAATACGAGCCGATTCGACGCGTTAAATGTTCCTCTAGAGAATCCACGGCGGAGAGGTTCTCTCTTTCTCTTTTTGCGAATCTGGGATGGCTATTGAAAGCGGCAAGATTGGGCAACAGCGGCATCAGAAGCGATATCGGATCAAACTCAGTTAACAAGCTCGTGCTCGTCGTCATATCGGTTGTCGTTCGAGTAGATAGATTTTAAATCGAGTCAACCGCGCGCGGGAACAACAACGGCAACGAAGTTAGCGCGGCAAAATAATCCGAGAGTCTATTGGATCGCGCGTATCTCGTGTATATAATGGAAACACACGAGCCGCCGAAGGGACGATAGTGGACCCGGGAAAGGTCGATGGTTGTGGGAGAAGAAATTGGATCTTGCCTCGCACGTCGCCTAATCATCGCTCACGAAGTTATCCAGGAAACACACACTTCACGTTCAAGCGAAGTACAAAGATGTAGATAAATACAGGTGTAGTTACACAGGAGATACCCTTGCGCTCATCTCCCCCTCTTTCTCGTTCGAAAAGTTTCCGCGTGTATATCCGCGAAGAAAACGAAAATTAGCGACGACACCGTCACGGGTTGACGCGAAATACAACTGCTCGCCGTTGGAAAGAAACGCGCTGGATGCCGCAATCAAAGGACAGGCTCGACAGACAGTCGGCGATTTCAGGAATGTGACAGGCGACCGTTCTCGCTTCGCGAGAAGGTATCATTATCCTTGGATAGGAAACGTAGAACAACAGGAAGCGGAAAATAAATAACAGACCCAGCGGGAATAAGACTTGTGTTCCAAATAAGTGTCCTTACGGCTCCAGGTTTCCTTCTTTTCGCCGTTGTTGTGTCGTCGTCGTCGTTTCGCGTTGTGAAGCGACCCTGTTATGGAATGAACCGATGCCCGAACGGGGCGTTTAAGTGTCCGCGATCATCCATCCCAACACAACAACCTGGTCGAGCATCATGACCCCGATGATACGGCTGCTCCTTCTGCCCGCTCTGCTGGCCGTACAGTCGTGCACGATTGTCTGCTCGGCGAGCGGCGATGGCGGGCCTAACAGCGCGATCTTCAAAGTGGACCACACGGCCTTGGAGAAAAATCTGGCGGCAATCTTCAACAAAGTAGCGCACAGCTCCGCGACCACGAAACGCAGTGTGCCGGCGTACGACGCCCAGGTGTCGGCGAGCACGACCCTATCGACGGTGCCGTCGCCGTTGACTACGAGCACGACAACCAGCACTAGCACCGCCAGCCCGTCGATACCCGCCGTGAGGAATCCGGCTGTGCCGCGCGCCACAGCATCACCCCCCATACGGGAACGGCCGTCGTACCCGCCGCCCTCGCGGGCGCTGTTCACACCGCCACTGCCTCCGGAGTATTTACATCCGTTTGCCGATAAGCCAACGCTACGTGGCACCTATTCGAACGTGCACACCGGCAACAGAAGGCCGATACCGCCGCCCAGTCTGACGCCGCTGCACGAGCGAATACCTATCCGACCGCCGGATCTACCCTCCGAGGAACCGGAAGAGGAGCACCATTCCCACTCGGCGAACAAGCCGCTCGAACACGTGCCCGACAGCAGGGAACAGGATCTCTTGGAGCCCATCGAAACCGAAAGAAAGAACATCACGAACGATCCGTCGTTCGTGACTCTTCATTACCCCAGTATCTCAAGAATTTTGTCCGGTAGTAATGGCAGAAAACAGGACGTTCCCGATATATTGTTGAAACCTCTGACTACAAAAAGTCCGCATATACCCTCGGCTCCGACGACAGAGAGGATCACGTTGACGCAGAGCAGTACCACGTTGAGATACAGCACCGCGAATCCTTTCAAGCCCGTCGTCACGCAGCCAACGATCTTCAACTTGCCGAATACCGGTCGGCAAGATGATAACGATTACCTTCACGGGCTGAGGAACGAGCACGGTCTGAAGACGGACAGTGTCGAGATAGTGGATACGGAACGGTTACCGTATCCGCAGGCGCAGCCGCCGGCGCCAACATCGAAACGGCCTACGAGCACTGACGACGACGATCGTCTGGTGCCGCACGTGGACACGCACTCGCTCGAGTCCACGTGGCGAATCGCATGGTCGCTGCATGTGTATGTCGCGGCTATCATGTTCACGCTTATGGCCCTGTATTCGATTTACAAGATCGTACGCTTCAACGAGGCGACGAATCTGTTCACGCAGTCGTACTTTCTGGCTGTGCATCTGCTACTGACCACCGTCTGCACGCTGAGGTGCTTTCATCTCTTCTACGACGCGTACAATCTCGGCCACTCGTTACCGGAACCGTTGTCCAGTGTGCTGATGTACTTGCCGGCGCCACTCTTGTCCACGGCTTTCGCCACGTTGGTACTGTATCTGTCGCGATGCTCGGAAGCGCCCTCGCTCAACAACAGCATTCTCTCGCCTACCACGCTCGTACTCGCGTCCGCGGTACACATCGTCTTGTGCGTGTCACTGCACGTATCCGCGCATGTGCTCGGCTATCAGGACGAGGCGAGAATCTTGCCGTTAATCTGTCAGTGTATCTACATCGTTGTATGTGTCACTCTCGGTCTGGGCTACGTGTACGTGTACCGTGTGGTGCGTTCGCAGATTCACATGGCTACAAACAAGGCGGCTGGTGCGAATCACATGATGAGCGCTGATCCGAGCACGGTGGCGCTTAGCACTGCCATCACCACCACCGTCGCCACGGCGATGGTCTTCATCCTGATGGGTTTTGTGCAGCTCTACGGCATATTCGGCGTACAGGAACGTCCGCAGCCGTATCCGTGGGTCTGGTGGGGCTGGCAGTTCTCCGTCAGACTTCTGGAGCTGTCTGTCTGCGGCCTCTTAGCCTGGGTCGCCAGTCTGTCGCAGTATCCTCTGCGCGAGAAACAGCTGCAGCAACACTCGGCCCATTCGGGTTTCGCTTTGTTTCCCTGCGGTAGCTCCACGTCCACGGAAAACATGGACGACGTCCTTTATCCTGCCATATGTAGCACCAATCAAGCGATTCAGAATTACACTATGAGAACGGGAAAACAAGTTTACGACGATAGTTTTCCACTGAACACCCTGCCCGAGCATTTGAACATATCAGGTAAGGAATCGTTTGTATGTTTAATATATATTTTTCATGCGCACATTTTTTTTCCGGAAAGAATCTTTTCGCTTAGTCTTTACTTATCGATTGTTTGTTGTTGTGTCGTGTATAGGTACCTTCGAGAGACATTCCATTCGTAAGTCAGGTACGATGGGTCACTTTCCTCACGAAGGTCGGGGTTCCTTGAGTCGTCACGGAAACGGCGTACAGACTCTAAGAAATTCCGAGACTCGCGGCAGGCATACGCCCGTTCAAAACTTACACGAACAAGCTCCGACCAGCGGCTCGACGATGCTAGTCGCCGAGGACGGTTTCGTTAGGTTCCGGAGTCTTGGCGCGGAGGACGATGAATTGTCCGACACACAAAGCATGGTCGGCACACACGGTAGGGGCAGCTCGCTTACCGGTAGCGTTAGGTACAACGTGAGGCATCCAACAGTACAGCATCAGCATCCCCATCAGCACCAACACACGTTGCAGCACTCGCATCCGAATCAACATCAAACTCATCATCAGCTTTACAACAACACGTAAAGGCTGTGCCAACGCGATAGCTAGAACGTGATTATTGTTGATTCAGTAAGCAAATTATTAATGAAGCGTATTATATGATTGACGTCGTTTAGTCGCAGTCTTGATTGTAATTGTAATCGTCCCCTATTGTTACAGACGCAATGATCGTTAATGAAACATAGGATGTGTCGACGCTCGCGGGAATCGTCGCCCTCGCAAACTTCGGTCTAAACTTTGAGAACTAATTTTATCTCATTAACTCTATGTAAGATATGTCCTGTGTATAGACAACCTAATTGCCATTCCTGCTCCCTGCTTCGCATCGACGTCCGAGCCAAGCCTCTGCCGTACGATATCTATACATATTTATTTTGATCCTTAATAAAGAGTATAAAAGTATACGGCGAACTCGTTTTCCTCGAGTTCCTCTACCTGTATGTGGGTAAGTTCAGGGTATATCGAAACTTGATCTTATATTAGGCACTTGGTACTTATTAAGATTCATGTGATTAAAAAAAAAAAAACAGAAGAAAAGGAGTAAAGGAAATAATATGTCTCACTGAAGTATATAGAAAAACGCTTCTCTTTCAGTTTTTTGTTTACTAGTACCGAATATACGGCTGTGGAGCATATTGGAAGAATCAAGTGAGTTCTTGTTTTGATCACTCTTAAATGTCATTAAAGCGTTAAAAACATGTTTTAATAGAAAATGTTAATCGTGTTTTTTTTTTTTTTTTTTTTTTTTTTTTTTTTTT